ATAAACAGCATTGTAATTTATAAGGAAATTAATTGTCTGTGAAACTGATAAACGATACTGTAATTTGTAAAGATTAAATGGCGCTAGAAAGCCGATAAAACTAAATTAAATTAAAATTCTTTACAGTGATAATTACCTAAAAGCTCTTTTCCTAGCTTGTGCAAAATAAACAATTGTATTTAGAAAATACAATTATTGTCTAGTTATTCATTGATTTATATTTTCATATAAGCTAAATTATTATCATTAATGGCTTAATTATTCATTTCATAATTAATCATAATTATTTCTAGTAATTTATTAAAAATTGAACTCGAATTACTAAAAATTTATTACTATATAACTATTCTAGTTATATATTATATATTACTAAAAGTTTATGAAATATTTATTATTTTTCATATTTAATGTGCACATAATAAAATTATTTATAATTTTTCATAAAAAGATTACGAGTTGTCAAATTTAAAAATAATGAAACAATTAAAAAGTTTTTACAAAGTAAAAATTTGATATATTGTAAATATAATTACAGTTTTTTTTTTATTCAAATAAATAATTGAAAACAGTAGAATAATTTCTCTTTTATGCTCTTTAAATAAATAAATAATTTATAAATTGATCGCTTCCACTATGAATCTATCTAACTATTCAAAGTAATCGCGAAGAGAATTAAAACTTTCACTAGATTTGAATCAAGTTCCCTTTAACTTTAAGAGAACAGACAAAGTTTCTTACCTCGTTGTCTATCCAAGTTTCAGTCAAATTACGTATAATAAAATTAATATCACATTTAATAATTAAATTTTGACGATATGTTAGATATGTGTAATATTGGTCGATCATGTGTAAGGAAAATTTTGCAATATTTATCAATATTATTCTTTTATCTTAGGAAAGAGACCATCTTCTTTCATAAGTTCTTCCTAAATTATACATTTTTAATACTATAAAAGACTTACCACTGTATCTGGTATTTGGCATATAGGAGAAAACCATTTCTGTTCGATTGAAGAGAGTGATGAATAAATGGTATTTTCCATCGGCATTGGAACGAGGCATAGTCGTGCCTTCTATGAGTCTGGAACATTTTAATGCATTTGTGCTCGTTACTGCCGCCAACAGCAACAAAAATCTGCGAATGTCCCTTAAGCTTCTTATTCCCTGTAAAAAAAAAAAGTTTATCGATGAATTCACTTTGACGAATAACTATTATTATTCAAAATAAATTTCTTTCTTATTTATACGAGATAAAAAACTTTATTGCTTATCATTAAGAAAAAGATCGGTGATTCTTATGTACATTCAAATTTTTTATATACATTTCACAATCATATTTTATATAAATTACTTAAAATTATATTTTTATTTATTGTATTTTCCAAAAAACACAAAACAGTAGATAAATTCGTATAATAAGCCATTGATATTAAGTCATTTTATTTCAATTTTCTAAACTCTTCATCCTGAAAAATAAAAAAAAAATCGTGATAAATAGAGGAGAGGAGTGAAAATGACATCTCGGTTCTTCCCTGGCCATTGTTTTGATTAATGATCGAATTCGTACGTTATTCGTTTGTAAATTATCTAAAATCGGTGCAGTAAATAAAAATGATAGGTCTCAAACGGGATTAGGATCGGAAACCGATTGACCTAATTTATCCTCGAGCATCCAGATGGTCGCATTCTGCGAGTTTTCATTTCACGTGAATGGAAGGTACTTCGTTTCTCTCTTCTACCCTCAGGTCACACAGGGGAAAAACGAAATATTCTATACCTATTGTACGTACGTTTGTTCGTGCTTTTGTCATATGTACATGGATAAAAAACTACGAGGAAACAATTCGTGCAATAACGAAAATGGTCTACAATCAATTTATAAAATTTTACCAATCTCGTTTCAGACACGATTTCTTTTCATAGTAGCCAAATAACTTGCAATCTCTTTTTTTACAATCATATAAAAATTTAGTAATAAATATTTTTTAATAGTGAATATATAAAATGAATTAATATTTTATGAATTATATTTATTGTAGTTCCATTTAATTATAAGAAAATGAATAAACGTTGAAAATTTTCATTATAAATAAATAATTGTAAATAAATGTTAATGTAAAATGTAATAATTATGATAAATATACATATATGTATATAGATGTTCATTTGATATAGATTATATAAAATATTGTTAAATGAACTTTTTTATATTGAAAATCAAGAGATATATCATCTAAGGTGTCGTATAAATGAAATTGTGTCATGATATTGCGTTCGTGGATTATGCAAAGGGATTATAAGTAAGAGATTGATAAAGTGATACAAGTCAACGAAGTAAGAGACCCAAGGATTCTTCATTGTGATTCTGTACAATGCTCGTACATTGTGTCAGAAATTTATGACACATATATTGCAAATGTACAGGATATTAATAAGTTATTTCATATGTTAAAAATAATAATAGTGGAATAAAGAAAATTTTTATGTGATTTATATGATTATTTATAATTTATCTATGTATTTATAAACAAATGAAAATCTAAGTTGATTAAATCTATTTAGAATAATATTATTAAATTTGAAAAGTTTATTTCAATCATATTTTTGCACAAAAAAATCAAAGTTTATTCAAGAAACAAATTTGATCATTTCAAAACATTTGTATGAAAATTTTATATATTCGTACAAAAATTCATCTATCTATTAAATAAAAAAAAAAAAAATAGAACAAAATATTCTTTTTAACTATTGTCTAACTAAAATAAATTTACTATTATCACGGCTATTTGAGGCATGGAAATGTGATCATGTTACATGAACAATGGAACAGTAACGGAATAGGATGAACCAATGTGAAACTAACATGAGAAACCGAGGAATAGACTAACGTCGACGAACTAGTGGACTTGCGTGGACGAAATGGGTGTCTAGGAACCGCAATGTCACTAGGGAAGTCAAGGATGAACTACTGAGAACCACAAGCTTGAATTGACAAGTACTATTCCAGTGATGAGAAAGTCACAAAGGAAATATCATAAACGAACTAATATCAAATTATCATTGAAAAATAAAACATTATAAAATAAATTAAATAATAGTACATAATATACACAATGTATAAATTAATATTGACATCTAGAATATTGAAATGAAGAGAAAAATCAATCATTTACTCAAATTGAATAAATATATTTATATGATTAAACTTTGAAATATAAGTAGCGAAATTTGATAGTTGAATCAGAAATGATCCATATCAATCTTATTTAATCCTCGTTATTGAACCGCGAGCCTTAACCTATTATAATTAAGAAATTATAATAACAATAATAATAATAGTAAATAAAGAAATACATGAAGTAATAGAAATAAAATATCAAATATTTTCCAAAGTATTTTAAATATTATATGTTTCGTAGAAAAATATAAAAAAAAATAGAAAATAGTATTTATATGTACAATAAAATATCTATATTCAATACCGTAGTCGTTATATAAAAGATATGCAAGACGTTTTAGATTTTTTGCAAGCATTCGAACGCTTTCACGACTTACTATGCTTACGTGTTCCATTCAATCGGTCGATAACACGATTTTCTCTTACATAATTTCCAAGGCTTATTCATTGACGTTTGCCTTGATGAAGATCTTGGCCGTGGCGATTGCAGCAAATCCGTTTACATGACCGAGAAAGACTCAATGTCGTAACAACAACTTATAACAGGCGATGAGTCACGAACTAGAAGAGATGAGAAATGTTTTGCGTGATAACTTTCAAATGATTGCAAAGATTTTTATGGAATATTCTATCTTATGAATTAAAAATCATTTCATGATTCAATCTAGAATTTTAAAAACTTTTTTAAATTTGTGCATAAAAATTATTAATATTATAAAATATAAAAAATGTATTACATAAAGTTATAATCTTATTATTATTAGAAATATTTAGAACTGAATTCTCAATTAGATTTAAGATAATGAAGAAATTACTTTTAACATTGTTAAATACAAAGTGAATTCGATTCAATCAGTAATTTTTACATTAACTTGCATAATATAAAATAATGAAATGCATGATACTGCTATGTTATATTATATTAAAAATATATAAACTATATAAAAAATTCTACATATTGAACACATTTATATAGTAATAAATATATAAATAATTGATGCTAATTTAATTGTATATTTATTACTATATAATTGTATATTTATTACTAAATATAATTTAAATCACAAATTAATTATCTACTATCAAATGTATCTACTATGTATCTACTACCAAATGTTTCATTATTTGATTAAATAATTTATAATAAATATATATAATATATAAATACTTTGTCTCCAAAAGTAAATTACAATTCAATATTAAAAAATTCAATTATATATTCAATTTGATATATTATTTTAAAACATAAATATTTTATTAATTTAGGTTATGTTGTCTTTTATATTTTATATTCAGTTATTACAACAATTGATCTAATATATTCATTTAGCGATGAAAATGAAATAAATATTTTATGAGAATAATATTGTTTGAAATATTATTCGAATCATATATTTTGTGATACAAATTTTTTAATTAATACTTTGCAAGGAAAATTTTTACAATATACATTGCTATACGATGTTTAAAAAGAAAAAAAAATTAATAAAAAAAAAACATCGTATCTTAGAAAACTTATATAAATCACGATTAAATAATTTTATGTAACATTATATCAGTTTAAAGTTTAAACAAAACACTGCAATTAATTTTTAGATAACCTATATTTGAAAATACGTTCTTATATAACAAAGATGAAATATGATGTAGAAACTTACAAGATTAATTATCAATTATCTTAATCAAAATTCATTACCTTCACAGAGCAATTATAATAATAATTAATTAAATTCGATTACCTATTTAATCATGCGATAAAAGCTATCGTAACGGGGAATCTCCATTTCACTCGTGTTATGTCTCGTTAATTACGTAATAACGTCACGTCGTGCAACAAAGCAAAATTTAGTGGTTATTATATGATCTACAATATGAAATGTCACTTTATCGGCTTCTATTAAATTAGAATATGAATATTCTACGACGAAGCACGTGAATGCCAGTTAGACTGCTGTTGCCAACACGTGCGCGAAAACATGTGTCCGTACTACTACTTTGGACGTCTATACACGTACGACAGTTACTGACTGACTCATCTTGGCAAAGATGTAGCGTCATGCATTGCGTTTCTTTCGCGCTTTCTTTTTGTTGATGTATGATATATTGAATATTTTGTGATATATAAACTTTTATTATTATGAGTTACTATTTTTCTAATAAATGGTAAGTATAAAAAAACGAAAGAAAAAAATTATTTTTTTTTTATAAATAATATAACAAAAAATGAAGTTAATTTTTGTAACGAACGCATATCGATGATGAATTGAATAAGGTTAAGTATAAATGAAATACTTTAAATATTTTGTATCATTGCATTAAATAATATGAATATACATATTTCTTATTAATATGACATATTCGATATAATTATGATGTATATTGAATTTTATAAATCTTTTTTTTATCTAAAATATCTTGATTAATAAATCGATATATCTCTAATCTATCTCTAGTCTACCATAAATAATATCTTTAATAATCTTTAATAATATTTATATAATACGGTTTTAAAGATTAAAAAATATTAAATTTTACCTGAATATTTTTCTCGATATTTCAATACTTTAATTATTGTCTAATTTTATTATATTATACTTAATATATATCATATCTTTTTTTCTTTTGTAGAATTACAATATATGTACATATTACATTACGAAAATGAATTTACCACTAGAAGGATTCATACTGAATTCTCATAAATACTATCTAACTATCCTTTTCACACATATATATTTAATTTCATCTCCGTTATTGCAATATATAAAATACAAATCTATTATAAATAATCTTACTTAATGAAAAAATGAATTCAGGACGAAATCTTTTTTTCTTTTCTTTCCTTCTCGTTATTTTATACTAAATACGTTACTTCAAAATATCTCTAAAATAATCGATTGTTGTTCGATTATTTTAATTTTCATTTTCATATCGATTTATTATCGATATTAAAACAATTTTCGAATAAATGATTTATATTTTTAAATATACATAATATAAAGCAATTGTAATACAAGTTTAAGATTTTTAATAACAAAAGACTATTGCAAAATATGAAAATTCTTTGAAATGTCGACAGATCTTTATCTCGAAGGCATTGTCTATTCAATTTTTTTCACCAGAATTGAGGATAGAACCTAAATTACCCCTATTATACGTCAGTAGGTGAGGAAACGTGGTTGGAAGATGGTTGGAGTGGAATAAAAAGTGAGAATAAAAGAGAAAAGGGCTTCGAGGATTGCATCGAACAGAATGAAACTGCGAGAGACAGATTGTGAGAACTGCCAATACGTCATTCGAATGTCAATAAGTCAAGGGAAGACGGTTTTAACCGTTTAAATTGTTGTAATTTTTAGAAATTTCGTTATTAAATTTTGAATAAAAATTTTTTAAAATTGATTGATTAATTTAACATCTGTATAATTTTTTTTTGATTTTTTAAGATCATGTTTTCATAAAAACATCTATTATTTTTGCAAATTTGTTGGTAAGTATTAGATAATAAAAAAAAATTGTCTTTTAAAAAAATCGTTTCATTTTCTTTGATATAAAATATGATTATAGATATTATTTATTTTATTTTATTAAAAATAAATTTATATATTTAATTTTTCAGGATCATAAAATTAATTACTCAACTTGCAAAAAAAGGACTGAAATCACCATATTACATCTTTACATTCAATGCAATATAAAATATGAAATTATACAATTGGATATCCATATATTTATCACATGTTTATCATCACATCTATCATTATAAATGCAAAGATTTTTCAAATGGAAACAAACATTCAGATTGAACTGATTGCTTTTGCTTTTTTTGAAATATGTTATGATTGAACAATTTAAAAAATAACAATAAATATTCAATTTATTATTCAAAATATAAATATTCAATCGAATATTGAAAAACGCTTATGGTTTGTGGATTTAATTCTTAAAATAAAATTTTAATTTTTTTTCTAAATTTAAATTATTTTTTTAATGTATTTTTAAAATAAAAAATTAATAAAATATTTTATTTTCTATTTTTTAATTTTGTACATATTTTGTTTCTATTTTAATTATATTATTATTTTGTTTTTTTAATTAATATATATAATAACAATTAATTTTATTAACTTTCATCTTTATTATATAGTTAGAAGCATTGTGCTAAAATCTAAAATACGACAAAATCTTGAGTAAACTGAAAAAGATGTCTTATCTTTCGCAACTTTCGAAGAGGATCAAAATGAACAGAAACATGGTTCTCTACTAAAATGATTGATGATCAAATGGGAGAAGAAAAGAAGCAGCTCGATTTTATATCATTTACAAAACAGTTTTGTGAAGTTTTGTGAAGTTTCGAAAGAAATTTCAGACATTAAAAAATTTATCATTACGGTATTATTATTTTCCTTTTATTTTCGTTTTAATACATTTCTTTATTATAAAATTTTTATTAAATACTACTAATTTTTTTTGTCCATTCTTAAATTTAATGTTATTATATAAATTAGTTTTTTTAAGTTAGTTTATACTAAAAAATGATAATATTAAATTTCAAATATATCATAATTTATTTATTATCATAAATAAAATTATTAAAATTATTAATAATAATTAATTTAATCTAAAGCTTTTTATATTAATTTCTGTTAAACATTATGATTATTATGTTTAACATATTATTTCCAATTTCACACAAATTTGAGTGAAAATTTTTCCGCAATGATAATTTTAACATCAAATTTAATCTCTCAACTGAAATTGTAATTTTTATCAAAAACATTTCTATTTTTTATCTCGTAATTTTTTTAATAAATATTTTATTTCGAAAAATTGAAATATATTTGGTGTCATATTGTTCTCATAAAAATAGAATAAAAGTTTTTTGAATAATTTGTTTTACCACAATTTAAATTTCAGATTTATTTTGATATTCCTTTTTTCTCTTTCTAATTTTTACAAAATTATTAAAAAAACATTTATAAGTTATTTCTGCAAAAATTTATCATATTAAAAAAACATACTTTAAATGCATATTAGAAATAATTATAGAAAAAATATTATTTTATTTATTACGAAATATGTACGTCATATTAAGTCATTTCAGAGGTCATTGCCAGTCTACACCCTTGTTGCACTCGTGACCTTTTCCACTAGGCACTTGGTAAATCATGTGCATGTGCAAATCGATATTTGCATAATATTTGCGCTTTAATGATTCAATGATTTCAATTAAATCTGATTTCGCATTATTATTATTATCTTAAAATTAATTATTGACAACATTAATTAATCGTAAATAAAATTGAATCTAAATAGCGTATTATTTATTTCTTTGAGAAAAATTTCTTAATAAATATTATAATATATTTATTAATATAAACTTTAAAAAATACTTTATAAGACAAAATAATGAATCGAGTAAACGATTATGTTGGAAAACTTCAAATCTGGCTTTTAAATAAAAATGTGATTTAACAATTGATTTAATTTATCAGTTTATTTCAAATATTTTATTTTAAATTTAGCTATTAAATAATTCATTTCTATTAATATCATATTTTATTGATATTTTTAATTTTTAAAAAATGAATGGAATAAATAAATTAATAATTTAGATATATTAAAGGATGAAAATTTTAAGTTAAGTAAATTTTCTTAAAGAATTTGCAAAAAATCTATTTTTTCATATGTAAATCAAATAAATAAAAATATAACATTGCACATTTTTCAATTTATTTCAATTTAAGTTAACAATAGAATGAAATGAAACTTTTCCTTGCATCTATCAGCATTTTAACAATCCCTTTTATGTTCATACACAAAAGGATTTATACATATATGTTGCATTTTATTACATAACTCAGTATAATATAACTCAGTATTATTACTAAATATTTTATATTTTATAATATAATATTTTATATATAATGATATTTTTATTGATGTTTATGATAAATGAAAAATTATGCAAAATTATATTATATTCAAATAATAATTGAAATATTATAAAAATATCATATTTTTATTTTTTTATTAAAGAAAATGCTTATAAAAAATCATTTTTATATAGGATTATTTACTTTTCACAAATAAGCTTATATTTTAAAGAATTAAAAAAAATTTAGTACTCACCATTATGATCATCGGAATGTTTTGAACATAAACGCGTAAACAACACGTGCACTAAATTTATAATAATTATTTTTCATACATCATGTCACGTGTGTTAAATATAATCAAATTATACATTCAACAGATCCGTCACCTTTGCGAGTCCCCGGCCAACTGACTGTGAGTTTCGAGACGCGCTAATAACAACCCACTACTTGCGCGAATCAAATGCGCAGTACACTTCAAAGGAGATTTTTTCGTCACGAGTCAGACGCAACCCAGTACATATGGGTTCCTGTTATTTCAACACAGTGGCTCATTATACGTTTTTTCTATTTCCATTTACATTGATAGAGAAGTAAAATCAATAAGATTTTTTATATAAAAGTATTTGTTAATTTAATATAAACGAGACATTCAAAATGAATGAATCATTCATAGAATATCAAAGAATCAAAAAAATAGAATTTGAATGATTGTAGTTATTGAAAATCATAAATCTAAAATATCAATCTAAAATAAAAATAAAATTTTTAGCTGATATAAATAATAAATGAATTCAACCATTAATAAAGGTATAAATATACATTTATAAATATACATTATTCTAAAACTTGCATATTTATAACAATTAAAATTAATTAATAATATTTCTCATATAATAATAAAAAAAATTAAGTTTTCTGTTTCAAAATATAATTCAAAAATATTTTTCATATGTTTTAATATTTTTTTAAAATATGTGACATAAATATTTATTTTTACATTTTTATTTTTGAGGTAAATTGCATATCTCAAATTGTTGTTATAGGTTATATTGTTTTAATACATTCAATTTACAATATTTTCATAAAACTTTCTTTCAGCTATTAAGTAACATCGAGGTCAGAAAATCAACAAAAATGAACTTATGTTTTTTCTCTTATGGTTCTCACTATAACAAAAAATAGGCGCCACGATAATTACCAAATAAAACTTATATGAACTTCTCCCAACGAAACGAACGAAATAGATTAACTGGATGAAGGCCAATATAATGGGTACAATTCTTTAAAATAATTCTTTCAGAAATATTCTAAATCATCTCCAACTTTTTCTTTCCATTCTTTTCAACATTATTTAATCGATTACAATGAATTTAGTAAATCATACTAAAAAAAATTTCTTAACAGTTTTAATTTAATGTTAAAATATTTGTTAAATTAATTAAAAATATGATAAGGTATATAATAAGGTATATAAGGATATAGGTAAATATAAATATTTTAATCTGTTGCTATATTTTACATAAATGAAACTACAATCCAGAACAACTAATATTATTATAAATTGACGGATTATCGATAATTTACGAAACTTGCAAAACTTCACTTAACTGATCACTATTATATAGTCAAATATTATTAATATATATATCAATAATTTGTAAAATTTCATTAATAAGAGCGTTATACATATATTCAATATATTCATTCTCCGCGAAACTAACAAAGTATCGAACGATTTGCCGACAATTGCCTGCCATTAACTCGCTCGTCATTCCTCTCTCCACTTTTTGACGTTTTAAAATATCGGTTAAAATCATCGTGTTGCGTATCTCCAACGAAATTCTCAAGCTTTGTACATTATAACCCGAACCATCTACTAACGTACCCTATGTAATCACGTCGAACGATGGTCTAGAAGAAAAGAAATTCAAAATTCTTTTTCCGCAAGTCTCGTTTAAATCAATTATTTCTTTTTCTTTTTTGCCAAAGGCGACTAAAACGGTGGCATCGTTCAATGTCGCGAAGTCGTCGACTGTCTTGAACGAGTGGACGGTCGTGCGAACTCGCTGCCTTTCGACCGGTAGGAACATGAAATCGAAACCCGACCACTTCTCCGGGAACGCCACAAATTTCTCCACGTGTCGCAGACGTCGAAATCTGGATCCAGTTCACTGTATAACCGCGACGACGAGCCATCGACCACGATAATGAATCAATTAACGACATCGCACCAACCATCAGGTTGTGAACATGATTCCTTTTAAACAATCCTTTTATTTTTATTTTAATTTTATTCACGGATTATGGTTATTCTCCGCCTCGTCATATTTCTTGTATTCTTATAATTTTTGTTCCTTTGGTTGAAAAAGAGAAAGGTTGACAAGAATTGCAAGAGGTTTGAGAAAGAGAGAGAGAGAGAGAGAGAAAAAAAGAGAAAGAAAGAGAGAGAGAGAGAAAGAGAGAGAGAGAGGGTTTTGAGATTTGGAAATTGATATTGGGAAATTTGTGCATGACTTTAAAAAAGAAATGGAAATTTAAGTTTTATGGGAATATGGAATGTCAATTTTAAAGTAATGAACGGTAATTATATATTTAATTGATTATTGAATCAAATTATAATTAATATTATAATTGATATATGATTAATGATGAAGATTAATTTCAATTTAATTGTGTGTTTATAGAGTTTCAAAACGATTGAATTGCTAAGTTACAATTATTAGGATATGCAATTAAGATTGACTGGTTGTAATTATTAAACCAATTCTTGATTAATTATTAATGATTTCATTTGATTATCAATACTTATATTTTGATAAATAGAAATAATAATATACGTAATTAAATAACAATAGAGAAACATAAAGTTGTTCATTCACTTTGATTAACAGTTTTGTGAGATCTTTTAATTATTTTATTTGTATAGTTGGCTATATTTGATTATATTAAAATTAATGAATCGTTGCATTTATGAACTCGAAATGCAATTTTTTAATTTTTTAGACTTTTTAGACTATTTATTGAATATAAACATACACACATTCAATACTTTTTAATTAAGTATGAAATATCTTTATTGCTTTCCAATATCGTGGGCAAAATATGAAATAGAAACGCAAATATTTATATTGTTGGTAAATTTAAAATCGTAAAGATATTTTTTATAAGAAAAATCTATATTAATTTGTAACCAATTATAATAGAACAAATAAAAATATGAAATATTTGTTTGAAAATCTAGAAAACGAAGATACTATCAACGTTATAGAGAAAAGTGCGATGTCAAGTGCAGGGATCAAGGGTGCTTCTGCGAGTCAAAAACTTAAAAATCTGAACAACCATTCAGGACGCAACTCAGTTCATGTTTGTATCAAGTTACATATCTTTGTTGAAAAAGATTTTTCGAACCGATTAATTTGACAATCAAAGATTACATATTATTGCAATTAATTTAAATTTAATGTAAAATTTATTAATCAAAAAAAAAATTGCATGAAATTTCACTATTTTTAATAC